GGGCCTCGCCTGGTCTGGGTGAGGTGTGTCAGGTGGCCTCAGAAGAATCTGGGCTCAGGGACAGGGTTCCCTCTGGCAGAATGAGGTGTTTGGAGAGCTCTGCTCCACGGACCCTTGGCCTCTGTGGTTGCACCTGAGGGTCTGGGCTGGAAGAGGCTGCTGCTGTGGGTCCCGAGGCCCCGGAGGGCTGGGCCTCTTTCCCCTGCAACAAGGCAGAAGGGAAAGACCTAGAAAGATGGTGGACTGGGGCCCCGCTGCCTCACAGATGAGGCAGGGGGTGGGGAGTAGACAGGGACCAAGCATCATTTCAACATCTGTTTGAAGGAGGAGCTCCAAGGCCTGAGGCCGAAAAAACTGCACAGTTCAAACTAAAAAGACAAATAAGCTGAAATTCCTATTCTGGACCAGCCCCTACTTTTCACAGGCAGCAGGACCAGAGAGGGTGATTTATGAAGGAAAGTCACACAGCACTGTTTGTGCCAGAGCCAGACCTCAAACCCAAGTTTTAGAAGAGGCTCAGAAAGAAGCAGGGATTCACATCCCAAGGCTCAGCCAAGACATTAGCGCCGCTGCCTCTTCTTCTCTAGGCTAGAGGTTCTCAGTCAGACCTTACCTGGGGGCAACACCCGATCCCATCCGCCCCCCCCCAGCATTCTTTGTGTCAGAGCCCAGGAAACATCACCCTGTGTGCCTGCCCCAGCCTCCAGTACAGGGACTTCAAAAGTATAATATAACCCGGCGATTTCACTTCTGGGTACATACTCAAGAGAGCTGAAAGCCAGGACTCGGGTACTTGTATACCCACGTTCATGGCGGTATTATTCACAGCAGCCAAAAGGTGGGCACAACCCAAGCGCCATCTACAGATGAGTGCATAAGCAACAGGTGATATCTACACAGAGTGGAATAGAATTCAGCCTGGAGAAAGAAGGACATGCTGATGCCTGCTACAAGGTGGATGAATCTTGAGGACATTATGTGAAGTGAAATAAACCAGTCACCAAAGGAGAAATATAGGATTCCTCTTACATGAGGTTCCCACGACAGTGAACTTCACAGAGACAGAATGTCTCACCGTGGTTGCCAGGGGCTGGGGTGGGTCCGTGTTTTCTGGGCACAGAGTCTCACTCTGGGAGGGTGAAAACGTTTTGGAGTTGGGCATGTACGAATGCCACAGAACTGCACCCTGAAAGATGGCTACAATGGTCAATTTAATGATATATATATTTACCACAATTTTTTTTAAAGTATAGGTGGAACACACCCCCTTCTCCCCATCACGTTGAGCCTCCTGCTCTGTGAGGGCTCAGTTCCCTCAGCTGCATCCCAGCATCCTGCTTTCCACGTGTTTATTATCTTGGCCAATTTGGCTGATTTTAAATCTTTCTTCTGTGGACTTTTGCCCAGCAGTGCCTGGCACACACCAAGGAGCTGGGTACAGGAGAGTGAGTGTATGGGAAATGAATTCTTAAACAGGATTTAAAGAGAAAAAAAACTGTCATCGAAGGCCAGATTTTGAAAATAGCAACTTTAAAGTAGTGACCTGTACGACCTTTGGAGCCAGCTTGCCTCGATTCAAATAATAACACCTCCCCTCGTTTACTGGCTGGACAAGTTAGTTCCACAGCCTCTCTGAGCCTCAGTTTCCTCATCTGTGGAATGGAGGTGCTGAGCCGCCCACCACACGGGGGCCCACCTTACAGTGGTAAGGGTTAAACGTGCTAACAGGTGTGAGGTTGAGGACATCGCCTGGTACCTCATAAATGCTGGATGACTTTGCCAGTGTTGTCGTCCAGATTCAAGCAGATGTAAACGCCTGCTCAAATGCCTCCTGGATGGAGAGCTCACTGCCCACCCGCTTCCCCTGCTCAGGACAGCCAGTCCCCCTGGGAGGCTGGGTGTGGTCCGAAGCTCTTCCCTCCTTCAACCAGTCTCTTCCCGATAAGGGCCCCGGCCCTGGCCTCTGAGGCCGGCCAGGAAGACACACGTCATCCAAAGCGGCGTGCGCTGTGCTCAGTGCTGTGCTGCCTCCTTTGCCTGAGCCGAGCCTTTTTTAGGGCCTGAAGTTCGAGTAGCCCAGGGCACAGAGTGCGGGTGTCTGTCCCTGTTCAGTACGAAGCAGCCAAAGGGCGGTATCCACCGGCCTCGGACACCTGTCAGGGCCAGCCCCCATTGGTCCCAGCTAAGGAGTTCCATGGGCCTGGGCCCCCAAATGTCCTCTTGCTGGTTCCTGAGCCTCCATCTTCCAGGCTTGAGTGGGGAGGGGCAGCTGCTGGTGTCCGGGGGCCAGCCCCTGTTTATCCATAGCCCTGCCTTCTCAATCTTACTGCCTAGAACTGGGCAAATCTAGAAAGCAGAAAGAGGTCACCCATCCAGCCAGGATGGTCTGTCTGGGAAGCAAGTGGTGTTGAGCCCACTGCTAGAGTCTCACAACACTACAGAGAAGTTGCCAGCACGTGCCAGCAGGTTTGGTTCAATGCCAGAGTCAAAGCTGGCTCCACCCCAGTCTGAGTCCAGGGCATCCGGTCTCCTGGCTCCCTCCTCGCGCATCTCCAGTATCTCCAGCACCTCCAGTCTCACAGCCTTAGGAAGGCAGCGCCTGCTGCATCTCCTGCAGTTCTGAGTTACAGCCTCTGGGTGGCGCCACACAGCAAAAAAACCTCCCAGGCTACCGAGAAGCCCGCCGCAGGTGGCCTTAATGGGAGTTCAGGCTGGGAGGGCCTCCGCCTCCGGAATTCCTGCCCAAGTCTTTCTTAGGTTCCAGCCCAGGCTGTCCCCCGCCCCAGCTCAGGAGCTGCCCTCACAGCGCTGCTGCCAGACGATTTCAAACCTTTCACTTCCCTGCTAAAAGGAAACCCTGGCCACAGCCTCCCTCGTCCCTGGAGCTGCCTCCCCACTGCGGAGCTCCTCCTCTCCACACAGCGCCCCAGCCCACGGAACCAGTCACCCCCGCTCCCAGTAGGCCATGCACCCCCACCTTTGTCCTGCGGGTCTTCCACATGGAATGCGGTCCCTCATCCTCCACCTCTGCCTGGTGCAAGCCTGCTGCGTGCGTGGGGTATTTCAAACCCACCAACAACCCAGCCAGGCCGGCCCCGTGTTTTTCTCCCTTACAGGTGTAGGAGCTGGAGTTGCCCAGCTATGGAGCGGCAGAAGTGGCTTTTGAGCTCAGGCCTCCCAGGCTCTGGAACTGAGCTTTCCTAGGTCGGAGACCCCTGCAGACCATGAGCTGTCTGAGGGCAGGGCCACGTGGAATTTCTGTTTTTAACCCTCAGGCCCAGAGCTTCGTCAAGGTCCCTAACTCTAAGATGGCACTTACCCTCTAAGTGTGTCGGCACTGGACTGAGTGCTTTATATGTACACACGAGTAGCTACCAGTATTACCCCTGTTTTCCAGAAGGGGGAACAGGCACAAGCAACAGTCTTATGGCCATCAAGTGGCAGAGCCAGAGCTCATGGCAGCTGGCTTCCGAGTCCGAGCCTTGCTAGTGGCCCCTTCTCTACAGGCACTTTGAGGAGAGCCACTCCTTCCCTTCACCCAGGGGGGCCCCCCACGCGAGGTGCCCTCTCTGTGTTTCATGGGTGGGGCTCTGCCATTGGACTGGGAGCTCCTCGCTGGAGGGTGGGTGGTGTGCATCCACTCTGTCCTGCAGCTTCTGGTCCCTGAACAGAAAACCATGGCTGGATGGGGGTTCAGTGTCTGCCACACTCACCTGGCAGGTGCCGCGCCTGCGCTCTCCTCAGCCCATGAGGCAGGGCCCGTGGCAGCCCTGGGTGGAGGCAGGGCAATGGGGCGTGGGGAGGATAAGTACCTCATCCAAGGATCCGTGTGAGTCACAGTCTTGTCAGCTGTGGGTTACTGGGCCTGTAAACACGGCTCGCAGGGCGGCATGGGGATGGCTCTAGGGGGCGATGTGTGCCGAGGAGCTTGGCACAGGTGTGGCCCCCGCAGAAAACCACGAACGTTAATTTACCGAGAGGCCAAGTGGGGTCTGGGCCCACCTGCGTCAGAATATCAGCTCTGTGTTCTGATTGCGCTTTGCTGGGCGAACCCTCATTTTCCCTGTGTGACAGGAGGGATGATAATAGCTGCCTGGGAGAGCTACTGAGAGCACTGGAGATAAAGGATGTAAAGTGTCTGGTGAGAAGTGGGCACTCAATAAATGGGAGTGATTGTTTGGGATTATCTTTAATTTCGAGTCACTCAGACAACAGCGCTCGCTGCCTGGCTCTGGTGGGGGAGGCTGGTGAAGGGGGCCGGCGCCTGGAGGCAGGGCCTTGCCTGGGCTGCTCCTGGCACCCTCTCCTGGCCAAGTCAGCACCTCAGTCAGCCCTGGCCCTAGAAGGGCCGCGGAGGCATGGGACGCTGTTGCTAGGTGCCGGTTGCTAGGCAACACACTGTTTCTCCTGGCCTGGCCACCTCCCAAGGGCCCAGGCTTCCCTGGAGCAGCTAACTTCTGCCTCCTGCAGCCTCTCCCGGACCTCAGAGCCACTGCGGAAGGCAGGTGAGGGTGGGGCCAGCTGCGGCTGGGCCCTGGGGACAGCAGAGTCAACTTCTGGTGGGAGGTGAGCAAGGCCCAGGGAGCTGAGGAAGAGACAAGGAGCCAGGGGCTGGGAGTGAGCGTCCAGGTAGCGTAACCCAGCGTTCCAGGCTGGCCAGAGGTCGTCTGGCCATCAGACTCCAGAGTGTGTGTGGGGTTAAGAGCAGGGACCGAGGAGTCAGGGACCCTGGATCTGAGGCCTGATTCTGCCACTTATTATGGGCCAACCCTTTACTACTTGGAACCTCAGGTTCCTGGCTATAAAATGGGGCGTTCATAATAAAGTGTGGGCAAGGGGACATGAGACACAGGGCACATGAGATGAATGACGACAATGACTAGTCCTTTCCTCGTTCTGAGGTGTGGGTGTTGGTGGAGGGGGCAGCCTGGGGTCAGGTGGGGGACTGCTCCCTCTTCGTGTCCCCTCCTAGGTCCCCCGGGGCCCTGCCCCACAGCACCATGATGGGGAAACTTCCCCTGGGGGTTGCCTCCCCTTATGTGAAGATGAGTTCGGGGGGCTGCGCGGACCCCCTGAAGTTCTACGCCACCAGCTACTGCATAGCCTACGGTGAGGGCTACCTTGGTGTGGGACCCAACCCCAGGGCAGAGGCAGGGCAGGGGAGGCTCTCCCGCTGGGAGAGAAGCAGCTCCTCTGGCCTGTCACTCACTCGGGGTGACCCCAGCCTACTGAACCGATTGGTCCCCCAGCCCTGCAAGGACCGGATCCGCCCCTGTACTGTAGCTGGCCCCGCCCCGTAGTCCCTGTCCACAACCCATTCTGCCATCCTGCCACACTGACCTGGTCCTTGTCCTGGCGACTCCGTCCTCTGCCTGAGTCCTGAAAGGCTGAGTTTTTTTCTCTCATGTCTTTTCCTGCCCCTGGCTTTGTGCCTTCTCCAACAGGGGGCCCCTTGGCCCTGGGGGGATGCTGGCCCTGCCTGGAAGCCCGCCCTCTCTCCCTCTCTCCCACTCTCCTGACCTTGGGTCCTGCCTCGTGGCTTCCCCTCTGGCAGGTCAGGAGGAGTTCAAGCCCCGCATGGGCAGTCACACAGGCACCGGCTACAAATCAAATTACCGGCCTGTGGTCTCAAGCCAAGCCAGGCTCAACGCCGTGGACAATCCAGCCGTGGGGTATGGTCTGTACACCCCCTCTCACTCCTGGCCTGCTGGGCCTTAGTGTTCATGGACATCCACACACGGAGACCCTGAGCCTTGCCTGCCTAGGTCTGGGGCCCAGGAGCACTCAGGGCATGGTGACTTGCCCTGGGCCCAAGGGACTTCTGAGGCAACTGTGGGAAGTTTGAGGGAGGCAGAAAGCTTCTGGACAGGAGCACTGCAGGCCCTGGTGGTGAGAGCTCCCACTCCACCCTCAGGGAACGAGTCCAGGACAATTTCCAGACAGTAACCAGTCAGAGTTACCGCCCCCTGGTGGTGTCCGATGGCACAAACCCACTGCCCGGCAACTTGTACCAGACGGACTCTGGCTATTCTCTGGAGAAGGCCGGTTTGGTACCTACCACCAAGGAGGTCAGTGCTGGGCCAGGGCCAGGAGAGAGGGAGCCCTAGGGTGGAGTTGAAGTGGAAGAAGGGCTGGGAGGTGGGAAGAGGGGGGATTCCTTGAGCAGGATGGGACCGCCCTGCCAAGGACTGGTCAAGGCTGAGGTGTACAGGTGCGAAGGAGCCGCAGTGTAGGCTGGGGTCCACTCACCTTTATCACCTTTTCCCTCATCCGCGTCCCCACCATCCCCACCCCTCCCCCTCCACCCCGGTGTACATCTCCAATCCCATTCCCTCCCGCCCCAGCCCCAGCCCCAGCCCCACGGTCTCCACCATCCCACCCACCTCTCCGAGCTCACAGCACCATCCCCACCATCCGTGTCACATTCACTTTTGTCGTCATCGTCCCCGTCTTCTTCATTTCTGTCTGTTGACCAGCATTCTCATCATCACCGTGCCCACCAGATACTCATTCATTCACTCATTCAACTAATGTTCTGAACATCTGTATTTGAAGGTGATAAATGCTGGGGAAAACCTACAACAGGGCAGAGGCAGGGGGTGGAGCAAAAGTGAAAGGGTTATGACTGCAAATCAGAAGGGTCCAAGAAGGTTGCTATGGAGACATTAGATGAAGACTTGAGGGAGGTTAGTGTTCGCCTCAACTGCAGCAACCTGAGGGAGGAGCATTCCAGGCCACGAGGCAGCACGTGCAAAGGCCCTGAGGCAGGGAGTGGGGCGGAGTGTCTGACGTGAGGAGGGACAGTGCAAAGGCAGGTGCTGGAGAGGAGTGGGGAGCCGAGGGCCTTGTGGGCTGCTGTCAGGATGTGGGAGTCTACGGCTGGGTGTGCTGTGAATCCTCAGGGCCCCGAACAGTGGAGGGAGGGATAGGACCCAACCTCACTGTAAGGGGTCCCCTTGGGCTGCTGTGCAGATGCTCTATAGAGGTCAAGGGCAGACTCAGAGTCAGAAAGTGACTGCCAACCCCCCACCAGGTGGGTCACTGGTTGCTCCCTCCTCCCAGGTCAGAAAGGTCCACTTTGACACCCAGGACTATGGGCCCCACTCTATCACGGGGCTGGAGCCCAAGCATGTGCCCCTGCTCTGCCAGCAGCAAAGAAAGGGCTCGCTGGAGTGGGAGAACGCTGGCCACGTGAGTGGGCGGCCCCAAGGGGGGCTGCGGGCAGGGCAGAGGGGAGGCCGCCTCCCTCTCCTTCCTCTGCACTGAGGCACTCAGGAAGCTGACTGAGTGTAGGCTCAGGGCTCCAAGAAACACTGGGGCGAGCAGGGGTTTGATATCTCCAAGAAGGCCTCGGAGTGGTCCTTACGCGTGTCTTAGGATTCAACAGCTGTCCCCTACCCCCCTCCCCCACCCAGACGCCTTGAATCCAGGCATTGAATTGTGATGTGAGCACCCATTTTCTTCTTTCGGTCTCTCTCCTCAGCCCCTCCTAGTTTGGGCCCTGGGGGCTCCAGGCCCCGTTGCTCACTCCTGGGAGTCCAGTGGGGGCTGAGACTTAGTTTTCAGTGCCGAGGGGGAACGGTGCTCCAGTGAACTTCTGGCCCTGGGGTGCCCAGTCCGACAGCTGTTACTGCCGGGGTGTTGTCCAGGCCCTCAGGTCTCAGAACATGCCACACAGGTGTGGTCAGAGCACAGACTCCAAAGAGATGCCACTGCCCCCCGCTCGCCCTCCAGCCCCGGGCTACCTGTGTCTCCCACTGCTCCACCCTCTGCCTTCCAGGGGCCGCGCTTCATGACGTCTGAGTATAATTCCAAGTATCTCAAGGAGCCTTCAAGCCAGCCAGGTGGGAGCTTGTCTGAGCTCATACCTCCCTCCCACTCTACCTCCCCCCCCTCCCCGCCCCAGGAGAGACCCCTGGGGGATTGGAGCTGGCACAGCACCAAGAAGCACCAGGAGAGGAAAAAAGAATGTACAGGCAGGCCTGGGGGAACCGTCTGCCCGGGGGGACCCTAGTTAGTGCCTTAAGTCTGCCAAAGCCCGTGGACAGCTCATTCACCATGCCGGGCCCACTGGCCTCCAGCCCGTTCCTGCCTTCTGCTCCCCTCTCCTCCGCCCTGCATTCTGGATTCCTCCAGGTGCCCATGGTCCCGGAGGTTCAGGCCTCCAGACCCTCGGAGCCGGCTCCCTCCCCGCCTGCTGGGACTCTGAGCCTCTGGAGGTCACGCGGGCGGGGGCAGGTGGCCAGGGAGCACAGGGGGGCTGTCTTTTGCAGATCTCTTGCAGAAGAAGTCTATCGGCGCCAAAGAGGAGTCCAGCTTCACCAAGGAAGCCACCCAGAACCCCGTCGTCTTCCAGGCACCCTCTCAGGCCCTCCCTGGGGACCCTGTGAGTAAGGCTGGACTCCACGAGAATCTCGGGGAGGTTGAAGCCCTCCGGTATGGGAATTTCTGGCTTTAAAAACAAACAAACAAACAAACAACATGAGTTGCAGAACCTTTTTTTCAAACACAAGATGAAAGAACTTGGGCAAAAATCATGGTCCAATGCACCCACTTTATGGATGAGAAGCCTGAGGTCTGAAACAGAGAAGCTGCGTAGCCAAGCTCACTGGGCACTTGGACAAGACCCCTGCCGACCGGTGCCACGGCCGCCTCACCGTTCTCCCCAAACCCTTCCCTTTCCTCAGTCACCCCCATGGTCCCCGTGTGCGGAGCCCTTCCCTGCACCAAGGGGGCAGCTGACTCTTGTCAGGCTGACGCTTCTCGGCCCACCTCTTTCCAGGTCCTCCTTCCTGGCCGGAGCGTCACCAAGTCCGACTTTGTCCCCATGACCTACCCTCATGTAAGTGCAGCTGCAGCCAGGGAAGGGTGGCCCCTGGGAGGCAGTGAGGGCCGTGTGCTGCAGGGCACAGCGGGGACCACGCTTGGGTCCCCAGCAGCTGCTTTGCTGTCTCAGGGGCATGAGCTGCTGCCCCAGATGGCCAGAGGCTCCGAGCGGGAGACGGGCTTCAGCCGAGTGAATGAGAGGGCTCTCGGCCCCAGAGTAAGTGGCCTTGGGGCTGCCTTGGGGAAGGAACACTCAGGGGGAGGAGACGGGGTTTCTGGGGCTGGGGCTGGCCCTGCGACATGGGAAGAAGTGGGGTATTTGGACTCCCTGTGGAGGGTAAGGGCCAAGCGACTGGAAGGGAAGGTGTGTGGGACACTGAGTTAGCTGTGGTGGAGGGGCAGGTGGGGTTGGGGGTCCGGGCAGGCTGTGGCTGCACGTGCCTGTGCCTGACCGCCCTCCTTCCCTGCTGCCTCGGCCTGGCCACCCAGCCACCCATCTCGTGGTTCTGTGCCCTGCAGGCGTGCCCACCCGGCCCAGAACCCAGCAGCATGAGCCACTGGCAATTCCAGCACCCCCAGCGGGTACAACAGACAAATGTCACCCTGCCTGGCCGGGAGATCGTGGGGAACAAGGTGAGGCCTGCGGTATCCACCCCCACCCCCCAGCCCGACCCCCTCCTGACCTGACAGGTCCCCTCTGTCTGTCCCTGCGTTGCAGGAGCCCACAGGGTACAGCCTCAACAACCCGAGCTACGTCCGGAGCCCCCGCGAGCCCAATGTGGATGATCACTACCTGACCACCTACAACCAAGGGTGAGCCCCTTCCCTGCCCAAATGTGGGGCTGTGAAGCTGACACTGTGGACAGGGGGACGGAGGCCGGGACAAGCAGTGAGCTCACAGGCTGTGAGGAAGGCCGGCGCCGAGGCAGCCCGGGCCCCGCCGGAGCCGAGGAGAGGCTGCCGTGGCGGGCGGGGGCCGGCTTCCCACCCACAGCCCTTCCTGTGCCGCAGGTACTTGGAGAACACCCCCAAGGGGCCAGACCGAGGCAGCATCCAGCCGCAGAAGCCTGGAGGCTACGCCCTCAACCAGCCGGTCACCAGCCTGGTGGCCGCCCCCAACCCCACGGGGAGCCTGAGGCACCTCCACCCCCACGTGGGAAGGTAGCGCGCCCTCCGTCCCCCCCCGCCTCCCTCCCTCCTGCTCTGTCCTTGGCTGGTTCCGGGCCTTTCCCCAGCCTCCCCTCCCTTTCTCCGTCTGTCTGTCCTTCTGAGAGGCCCATGTCCTCTCCTGCCCACGTGGCTCCACCAGCCCCCTGGTGGCCAGAGCCAGTTCTGCACCTGCTCTCTGCCAGGATGCTTGTGGCGGGGGAGGGCGGGGGAGGCGGACACCAAACTGAATGGGCTGTGGTTAGGCCTTACTCCGACATCTTTCTGCTCAACTCAGTTCCTCAGAAATTACATTCATGCCGACAATGGCCCCGAGCTGGCAGGCAAGGAATGTGTGCGGCCTGGCTGCTGTGGCAGAGTGCCGGCCCCTCCGGGCTCGCTGCCCCAGCCCTCCCTCGTCATGGCCCCTTTCTCCCTGCAGAACCCTGATCTCAACCGACCCCTTCTACCGCCCCCTGCCTTACAGCAGCCGCTTCAACACACCCCACTGAGCCTGAGGTCTGGGTAAGGTCTGGGGGGCCCCACCGCAGCTGCTCCCCCTTTGGGAGTGGCTATCGAGGGCCAGCCCCACCCCCCAGTCCCTGAAGCCTTGCCCGTGGACCCCAGCCCCAGACTAGGGGGTGGGTGAGTGCACAGGACCGCCCGGGGCCCCTCAGACCTGGTCTTCATTTCCCCACAGGTTTGCCATCCCCATGGGGCGGAGCCGGCTACTGTCCTCATCCCCTCTCCAGTGCCCTGGGGGCTCCCCCATCACTTCCCTAATGAAATAAAGAGCAGAGGAGCGGCACAGTGTGTCCCCGGTTGTCAGGGGCGGCTGGGGAAGGGAGGGGTGAGGGTGGAGGTGGCACAGGGGTGGAGGGGCCGGGGCCAGATGTGGGGTCAGAGAGGCCCGGGTGACTCCCTGTAACGCTGTCTTGAGACTCCTGTCAAGGGGTCTCCTGTGGGTTGTGCTAAGTGCTAGGTCAAGCTCGGAAGGGAGGGGGCCCCAGGGAGGGGCCAGGGGGCCAGGGAGGAGGGGGAGGCAGAAGCGTGGGGGGTTGAGAGGCCTGGTCTGTGAAATGGGTGGGGGTCAGGGCAGGACTTCCAGGCCCTTCTGGGTCCCGTACTGGGTGCTTTAAAGGAGACGGGAGGGTGGAGAGGGCAGGAGGAATCCCAGAGATCTCTCTGCTGAGACAGACAGAGGTGGGTTCATGCTGGATGGACACACGGACACCAGCATAGGGTCAATGGAGCTCCCAGCAAAGCTGGTGCCTTGGTGCAGGCCCTGCGTGAGAACTGCAAGAAGGCACCCCCGGGCGGCTGCCCTACCCCAGGGGGCCTGGGAGGTGGAGTCTGGGCTGCCACCCACACTTGCCACCCGCCCAGGTGCGTTTCTGCCGTGCACACCTCTACAGCTGTGGGCGGCGGCCCTGCTGGCACCAGCTCCTTATTTTGTAAGTGAGGAAGCTGGGCCGGAGAGGGTGCGTGAGCTGCTCAAGGTCACACCGGACAGAAGGACAGAGGACGTCCCCTGCACCTCACTGGCCAGCCCAGCGTGCAGAGGGGTTACTCAGTGTCCAGCAGCTTCTCTTCCCTCCCCTGCCCAGCAGCAGGTGTCTGGGGCCCAGCTCTGCTGGCCCCACAGCCTGGCAGTACCCAGCAGTCTTGCGTGGCGGGCATGAGCACTGTCCGGAGCCTGGCCGGAGCCCCCGGTGGCCTGTGAACATCTCCAGCAGGCTCCAGCTGTGGGGGACAGGAGGAGGGGACACACAGTTTCTCAGCTGCAAACCCTGCCAGACCCAGGACCCAGTGACAGCCCACAGACTGTGGCCCCCAACATTAGAGATTTGCCACCTGGGAAACCCCTCCCACCCACAGTCACACACACTCACCAAAGCACACACACATACGCTAGATGCACGCAGACTCGGGGAGACACGCACAACAAACACATACGGATGCAAAAATGCCGGCAGACAAGTACACGTAAGACTCACTAACCACCACACATGGAGACACAGGGAAACACAAAACAAGCATGCACATAAACACAGCTCTTCACATGGATGCCCATGGCGCTTCTACATACATGCATGCATGCACAGACGCAGACAAACCTACAGACACATCGACACCCACAGGCCAGACACACACACAAACACGGAGAGAATCACAGGACCGATGCCCCCCATCCCGCTCCACTTCTCCACTTCCCGTCCCTTCCCCGCGGTGTCTTCTTACAGCTTGTCTTTCGTGCTCACCCACCCTCCCACCCCGCCCCGCCTCTGGCTCAGTGGAAGGTACAGTGTCAGGTTGGTGTCAAGGACACTGGAGCCCAGTTTCCAGGCTGTGTGAGCTGGGGCTGCACCAGGGTTTCCTGAGCCGGAGCTGTGGCCCGCACCCAAGGGGAGGGTGCCGAGCAGCTCCCTGTGGTCCCTCAGCCCCCACTGCCTCCTCCCTTGCAGCCTCTCTCCAGGCAGCTCACCCCAGCCACCCCGTGAGGACCCTGGGACCCAGCCCAAAGGTCTGCCTGAGGACAGGGAGGCCCAGGGGATGGGTTGGCAGGAAGGGGATCGAGGAGGGGCCGAGGCTAAGCCTGGGTGGTTCCGGAGCCTCCACCTGCTGCAGAGCCTGGATTTCCCAGATGAGACAGACGTGGGGAGGTGGAGGGGCTGCCCCAGGTCACACAGCCAGTGAGGACTGTGGGTGGGGCCTGGCCTGCTGGTGAGGGGTAGAGGGGGAGCCCAGGGTGGCTGTGGCCTGGTGGGAGCCCGAGTAGACCCCAAGTCACACCTGGCTTCCTGGCCTTTGCCCACCCACCGGGTTACTCAGGGCAGGCCCCTTGTGGCACACCTTGAATTAAATGGGCAGAGTGGCCAGTTTGGGGCAGCAAGGGAGGCGAGGTTGTGGGCCAGGACACAGAGGAGGGGCCCGTCCGAGGCTCGGCCAGGCAAGGCAGCGCACAGCAAGTGCGGCTGACGGGAGAGCGTCCTGTGGGAAGGACGGTCGGCCCGGTCCGGCGTGCTGAGGAGCCGTTCTCTGTCCCCTCCTTGATGCTGCAGCCCATCGGGGCATAGGCCACGTTTGTCCTGTTCACAGCAGAAACTCTGAAGCCCAGGACAGTGCCCGGCACACCTGTAGGTACTCAGCAAATATCAGATAGAGGAGGGAATGAATGAATGGGAGAATATATGCTGACCGTCAGCAGGGGCGCCAGTTGTGGGCTTCTCCTTGTCACTCACCGGGGCCCCAGGATGTCAGTCACTCAGGCCCCCGCACCTGGCAGGCCCTACTGTGCCCCCCCTCACCTGGAAGCCATGTCCGTGGCCCCTCAGAATGGCTCTGATTTGCCCAGGAGGTCGCTCCTTCTCTCTCGGTTGCGGCCCCTTATTCTCCTCGCAAACTGTGCCAGCTCTGACCAGTCCCAACCAAGGTCCCTTGTAGTGGCCCCAGGGCCTCACGTGCCAACCTTGACCCCCCGCCGACCCCAAAGCCGAGATCAGGTCAGTGCCGAGCAGTCCTCTGTGTCACCAAGCAGCCGGGGTGGACACTTCCCACCTTGTGGCTGCTCAGGTTGCTGAAACTCTGTTGAAGGGACAGGCCTTGGCCACGTCCCTCCCCCTCTGTGCTGTCTGGTGACTATGGCTTCGTCTGGGGGGGCACCTGTCCCCTTGCCCCTCTGAGACTTGAGTCTCCTCTCTGGCTTGGGCCAGCATCCGCCCGGCACCCTTCCTTTCCTTACCCGGCCCAGGCTCTCAGCAGAGTGGGGCGGCCCAGGCCAGGTTCGCACCTCAGCTCCTCACAGGAGGCTGCCTGCTGCTGCCGGCTGTGGGGGCCGCCGAGCGTCTGCGGGGAAGCTAACAGCAGCACCCACATCGTGGGCTAAACGAGAAGATGTACAGAGCGCTTAGCGCACAGGTGGTAGCTGCCTTGATGCTGGGGCAGAGGAGACAGAAGCCTAGGCGGGAAGAGGGACTTGAGCAAGGGCGTACGGCAGGTAATCACAGGGTCAGGCCTTTGTCCCCTCCTGCTTGGCCCCAGACAGGGTCGGTCCCCCAGGCCCCTTCTCTGGGAGCAGGCCCCCTCTTGTCGGGAGCGCGTGGGGGGTGGTCCACCTGCATGCCCTCATGTGGAGGCCTAGGCCGCCTCTCTGAGGCCAGCTGCTGCCAGGGCCTCTTGGAAGCTGCCTGCCCCTCCCCTGCAAACCAGGCTTCACGAGTTCAGGTGAGTCACTCCTTCCAGCAGGTACCAATTGTAGCTGCTGCCAAAAGCTTCTTGCTCCTCCCCAGGGACGTTCTAGAAACCCATCGGAGGCCTACAATGGCAATGATTAACCTTTATTAAGCCCCCACAGCCTGCTGGGTGCTGGAAATTTTCTGTGGGCCTTCATCTATTCAGCAAGAACACAGAGAGACCTCCCTCCAGGGGAAGTTTGGGGACACAGGTGGGTGCTATGCTGACGCCATGACTGTGGGGGCGTGGAGCCCCAAGGGCTGATGGGACAGCAGGATCGGGACAGACACTGGGTAGCACACAGTGGGGTGCCCCTCCTGACGCACATGGGCACATGCGAAGCTGCTGCTTGTCATCGTGTGGTGGCAGCTGACGTTGGCAGGTGCCATCTGGCTTGGGTCACACGGTGGCGTGCAGAGTCGCCAGCTCAAAGGCTTGACAGCAGGCCAGCTGGGAAAAGGCATCTGTCCGTGAGAACTGGGGGCCAGGAGGTGGCGGGAAGCCCTGCGTGGGGAGCTGCAGAAGGGTGGGCAATGCTGCACGCAGACAGATGGGAGGCCTGAAACTCAGAATCCGGTCGCCGGTCCCCTCCCTGCCCATCTGGAGGGCCATCCATTCCCGAGGAAATGTTCCCCAAGCAGGAGAATATGCAAGGACACGGGAGGAATCAGACCCAGGAGCCCCACCCCCCACCACCCAGCGCCGACACTTCTTGCTTTTCAAGATGTCGTTCCTGCAGATAGGGCTCTGCCAAGAACATTTTTTGAGGTGTAGAACTTTACCCTGGAAGGAACTTGGGAGAACCAGCTCAACCTGAGCCAGAGAGTTGGAGCAGCCTCCCCAGGCAACCCGGCTCAGTGCTCACACTCAGGCCTCTCCGCTCCGAGTGCAGGCCTTTCCCAGCGCGTGGCTGAGCTGGAGGCCTCGGGTTGCGGGCAGGGGAGTGGGCAGAAGTGAGGCCTGGAAGCTTCCTAGGAGAGCTAGCTGAAGTCTGGCCATGAAACCTGGCAGAGCTCTTCGCAAGCTACAGAAACCAACTTTGGCTAATTTAAGCAGAAGATGGATTTATTAAAAGGATTTTGGAGATCACGGAACCTTCAGGTGGGCCTGAGAACAAAGCTGAAAGCCTCCACAGCCAAGAACCTGGGTGTCTGTCCTTAGAAGGGACCCTGCCGGGTCCCTGCAGCTCTGCATTTCTCATTTCCAATACAAAATCAGGGGTGGGCGCTTCTGATGGGTGCCTTCCAGGTCACATGTCCATATTCAACATGCAAAGGAA